GATCCTTTGGTCCACCATCGTAACTGATCTTTCGTAACCAGCTACGAACATGGATTTTTTTTCTTCCTTTGATAACCAGCTACGAAAACAGAATTAATTTGTCGTTTTGGTAACCAAGTTTCGTAACCAGCTACGATACAAGATTTTTATTTCTTTTTCTGTAACTGGTTACTAATCGGGAATAATTATTCTAGGTTTGTAACCATGTAAGTGGGTAAAAAATACCTACACTGGGTAATATACTATTACAACAAATTAATATATTTTATGATTTTATTTGCCACAAATGGTACTTATTAACTATACGTAACTACTAACTATGCTAAATTACATTATAATAGAACATGCCGATAATCTTTAAATTTTGAATAGACAGATATACCGACATGGTGAAATTACAAGAATCCTCTTCTCGATTTCTCGACTTCTATGAAACTTAGTAAAATAAAAATATCTAATAGGTACTAAATTAGTATAACATAAAATTAAACATAAGTATGAAGTAATAATCATTTTGCTAAAATTAAAAGCAGAAAGGTGCGATAATCTCTAAACAGTGACCTACACTTATAGTGTTTTTTTCTAAGTCTTGAACGGCAGAATTTATTTCAAAATCAATTTCTTGATATTGTTTACTTTTATTTGACTTAGTGTTTGTACGAATCTTTGTTTCTCTAACCAAAATTTCAAGAACTTTGGCCAGAGGTGGATTTTTACGGCCCACATATCTATTTAGTCGGGCGTGCCAACCCTCTAAATGGTTTGTTGTTCTAAGCTCTTCACCAAAGCAACACCATTTTTTAATAAATTGGACGTCATTTAACCAAAAATTATTAAAATACGAGTTAAATTTCACCACTTGTGGGCATTTTGGTGCTCGTTTCATTATGTATTTATACCCTGACATGATATATTTTAGAGGTAATCGAGCCAAACCCATGCATCTTGATACATGTCTTCTTTGCACTCTTGACTTTAAACCCAATTTTTTAGCCTTCTTTAGTAAGCTGTTGCAAAAATGATAAAAACAACCATTAATTTGAGTTTCAGGAAAAACTTTTGCAATGGCATTCATTACAGGTTTTTCGTAATCCAGAGTAATTTTCACTGGATTCCATGTACGTAATCGACTCTTGAGCAAGTTAAATAATATTTCGTAGGTTTTTTGATTTTTATTGTGCAGGAATGCAAATATTAACGGAATTACTTGTTTTGTTGTTGTTTTGTAGCCATGAATGGTATAAATTTGATTAAAAGGTGGCGGGCATGACTTAAACGTCCCATCAAGTAAAAAATGTTGATTGTCCTTTAAAAGCTCATGAACGTCAGGAGGGCAAAATACCATAATTCTGGTCTCTTCATATTTGTAGTCAGCCAATAAAAAATATTCATATTTAACTGGTATTGTTACTTCTAAAGGATTTTGAAAATGCAACTTAGTCACGCCCATTTTTTTATGTCTTTCGTTGTAAAGACTACTTTTAATGTTGTTAAATTTGGGTAAGTCAGCAATTAAATCCACGCCATCATCTTGCAATTGACAAATAGTTTCTTCAAATTGTTTCTGAATTGGATCGAGATTTTCTCCAACTTTTATTTTTAAACAGTTAATTTTTTTCAAAATAATGTTTTTGGAGAAATTCGGGATACAGCCTTCGTCATGAGGTTTGTCTTTTACAAATATATTATTAGGGTCTAATGTTATGTTTCCTTTACACTGAATTTTATTGTAACATTGCCAAAATGTATTCCCGTTGGTGTAAATTTTTCTTTTATAATATTGACGACCGTTAAACAGCATTTTCCTTCCTCCACGTTTTGTCGACACAAATTGAATGGGATTTGAATCATCACAGTCCATTTTCAGTTTTTTATTATTTACTAGCAAAATTGGTAGTAATAATGATAATTTAATACTGAACTAAATGAGTAGTCTTGAGGTAATTATTGAAAATAAACATAGCAAAATGACATTTACATGACATCTAGATAAGTGAATATAATTATCTATGAAGTATCTACTATCCAATAATGACAAAATGCCTACCTACCTCCTTACATGGTTACAAACCTAGAATAATTATTCCCGATTAGTAACCAGTTACAGAAAAAGAAATAAAAATCTTGTATCGTAGCTGGTTACGAAACTTGGTTACCAAAACGACAAATTAATTCTGTTTTCGTAGCTGGTTATCAAAGGAAGAAAAAAAATCCATGTTCGTAGCTGGTTACGAAAGATCAGTTACGATGGTGGACCAAAGGGACGTGATCATCTTCATAACGATGCACGTGAAGGTCGGCCGGCTGCGGTTACCGAATTTAATATTGATATCGTACAACAACTGATTGAAACTGACAATAAAATTACTTGTCAGCAAATTCGTACTGTATTAGGCATTGGAATGAACAAGTGCAAAAGATATTGCATGTGCATGTTGAAGGTTCAGAAACTTTGCACTCGATGGAACTGCATAATTTAACGGAATACCGGATACGACTGCATTTAGCGTGGTGCCGTAAAATGATAAAAAAGTTTAATGGAGGACAATCATTGGCTGTATATAATATCGTGATAAGTGATGAAACTTGGGAGTACTGCTTTGAGCCGGAAAGAAAAAGCCAGTCCGCAGAATGAGTCTTTCCTTTTGAAGATTTGCCGAGGAAAGTTAAGGAAAGTCGTAGAAAACAAAAAGTGGTAAGAAAATGGTTGCTTCTTTCTTCGGCAAATCAAGACATTACACTACTGTAGCGCGTGAAGACCAAAGGACAACTGAAAAGGAGTAACTGCAGATTGGTATACATGCTAGCCCAATGTTTGAAAAAATTCGCGAAAAGCGTCCTCGAAGCAATATCGACCTTCACCACGACACCCCTGCACATTCCGCTAAGGTAACTAATGTGTACTTGAAGGCCTTAAATGTGAAGCTGATGGCCCATCCGCAAGGTCTGAGCTGTACCCAGACCTTGCACCATGCAACTTCTTCTTTTTTCCAAAACTCAAAGATAAACTTAGAGGTTTCCGATTTACAAGCCCGGAATCGGCGGTGAACGCATTCATGAAGTAATTGAAGAGGTCCCTACGGAAGACTGGTCCATCTGCATTAGGTACACAATGATCCAACGAATGCAAAAGGGTGTGAATATTGAGGGTATATACTTTGAAAAACAACAAATCTATTATAAACGTAATATACGGTCTTACTTATCACAATCCAGAACTTTCAGAGTGGCCTAAGTAGGTACCTATATCCCATAATTATCCATGCTGATTCATAGTTTTGTCTCTTTAATTTTTGACTAAAAGTGACAAACAGTGAGAAAAGCACACAAGATCATTGGAGAAAAGTAAATAAACACGAAGAAAAATCTTTGAGCAAATTATTTGTTAGGCGACTTTTATATCAATGGACATTTGACACGTCTGGATAGGTCTCTGATAATTACCCATGGCACGACATTGCTACCAGTAGCATTTTGCAGTCCCAATTAATTTTGTAAATATTATAATTGCCAAGGTATACTATTTATCAAAATAATTATCGTGACAATTATCATTTCGAAAACTCTGGTTGAAATAACTGTCTGTCACTGATACTGTCAAACTTTCGACAGATACTAGACACAATAGTTTAAACGGCAATATTCAGTCTCGAAGACAGAATATCGCCACCGGTCCATCTTTCGCCTCCTGTCTCAAACATATAATATAAAATATACTTTATATTTCGACAATATCAACTAACAGCTTATTAAAGACTAACGTAAACAACACGTTACTATTGAATTAGTTAAAGAAAAACAAATAGTAATACCCTACGAATCAATGATTATGATTAGCTAAAAAAAGATACTCGCATTTGTTACACATGAAAGACTGTGTATATAGGTGAGTGGGTACGTAATACCTAACAAAGTATAACAAAACCCACAGCACAGGTAATTCGAGCTAACCAAGTTTGTTCAGGTTATGCCCAATTAGACGTACAGAACTGTGATGCTTCAGAGATAATTCGGGATCGTACCTCACTCTGTAACGTAATACAAATAATATTACTTGAATAGGCAATACAACAATAAATGTTTTTCGGAATTTAAATTGATATTATTTTGTTATTGTATGTCATATGAAGCTTGTAATATGTGAACTAAGTTCTTATAAAGTTTAAAACTGTGGGTTCGAAAAATTATAGAAAAATACAGATTGACCGATAACATGCAGTTAATGTGTATTTGTGATTAAAACTGAAATATTTAATTAAGTTTTAATAATCGACTGTAAATACAAAAAGACGCAAAATAAATGTCAACTAATGAAAGTTTGAAGTACAATGAACGGGAAACTGCATGAAAAGCGAATAATTTACAAGGCGAATGATGAAAACTTATTATTATTAGAATTTCAGAGAACGTGTGAATGACGGTCTGACAGGCGACCCGTTTTATCCAGTTTGGCTGTACATAAACGTATTATGATTGTATTTCGTTTTGAGTTTGAAAATTATTTATTTAGAATCATTAAACCAGCCCAAGTATTAAGAACAACCGCCCGTAATTCATGAAATCATGTATCTATTCTTTGTGTATTGTTCTCTACATTTGTTATCGACGTACATACTTACATACTACATACGTCGTACATAAATATATATTATTAAAAACCGGATCATTGAAGTTCTAATTCATAAATTAGGCAGATAATGAATTAAATAAAGCACTGATTACATAACTTCGCTGTAACAAGTACATATTACTGATATATAAAGTTGGAGGGTGCTACAGGGAGGTGAAGTTGAACGTCCTAGCCGTAGCGTCGGGTAGAGATAGCAACATGGCGAACGGATGCTGCGCGCAAGTGCCTCCGATCCGTACTACGCCCGAACAAAGCGGCCCGCCCTGCCGTTTGAGCCGCTTCAGCACCTGGCGCAGCGCAAAACACTTTTATGTATGGAACGAGCACTCAAATGGACATGTTCACTTATAGACTAGTGTTATCGACGTACAATAGGTGGTAGGCGAGCAGTGGGCAAGATGCGAGACGAGTCGGTACAGCACGGTAGCGCGTGTGGCGTCGGCAGCGCGGTCCGCGGGATACTGGCGGGCAGCCTCCGAACCGAGGCGCGCGGGGCTGCGCGACCCGCGGTTTCATTAAGGACGCGAGCTACGCCGTAGCTACGGTCGCGCCCCGGCCGCCGCTCGCCTCTGACGAGAAAGCTCCAGCCTCCAGCTCTTTTGATTAATCCACAAAGCATGCTTATCACATTCGCACCCTCCTAAAAAAAAGCCCATGGGAAAAACAATCTGTGCAACGGTATGCATTAAAAAATATTTTCTATCTGTTTTTACAAATTAAAGAAAAAATTAAAAACAACATAGTTGGGAATTATACATTATAATATAAATGTATGATTTCGAGCGAGTGCAAGCACTTCCTATTGCGTAATGTTTTTTTGTGTTTGAACATCCGTTAGATTGTTTTGTTAATTTACATAAAGATGAGCTCTGTTCTCAGCTGTGGCTAGATTAAAGGCTGATGAAGTGATATAATCGGATTATATTAACTATATTTTGCCGAGTTCGTTGCACCACTGCACAAAGAGGTTCTTTTGATTATAATTCATGTTTCAGTTAGTACATTCAAGAGCTCATCAAGCTTATAATAATTACTAATAATAACACTTCATTTATTTACTTCAAATACGGTACCTAAAACAAAAGTTTTAATAAAAAAATAGTGTCAATACAAACATGTTTCGCATGCTTTAAATAGCAAGCCAACGTCTGATGATAAGGTATTAATTGATTACTACACAATGATCTCATACACACAATAATAAAAAATAATGTCAGAAGTTCATTATGTCAAGGATGATAAAAAGTGTAATACGTCATTTTTACAATAATGGAAAATTATTATTCTAAATTGTCATTCGCACTGCAATATTTTTTTATAATTAACCATTCAGTTCAATTCAGTGTATCAAAATGGCGTAGGCACTAAACCTTTAAACCCATCTGGGTATTACAATCTGAGACTAGAACGAATGAAGCAACAATGAAGTAATATAGTGAAAAATTAATCTTTAATTTGATTGAAAACTATTTTCTTTTTTCAAAAATTAATAAACCTACTTTTAGCTCATTAATAATATTATAATTTTTGCCAAATTTTGACACCAAACCTCCAGCTTCAAATTATGACGCAACAAATATTTTTGTTGCACTTTGTGAATTTTTATACTTGAGAATTTTTAAGTTTATTTTCGTAGTGTTTATTTGATGCTTTATACACCAAATTATACAATCATGAACAAAGAAGAAGCAATTTTGTTTTTGTTTTCAATTGTGCAGGAAATCAAGCGAGGTTTCGATACTCCGGTAATTTTATTAACAATGAAAGATTACGCGGAGTGTGTATTCATCTCCCTGGTAGAGATGCGCACAGCACTCTTGCATCGTGCTGCGCCGGAGCGCGTGGTAAGCATCATCAGCGACTTTCACTTTACCTGGTCGCAGGCCGTCCAAGACACCGAGAGCTTCAAACGGCAAATCAAAGATACGCCGCGAGACAGCATAATTACCAAAGCAGTTGATTTTACTGTAGAGTGTGCTATAAAAAGAAAAGAATATTTTCAACAGTATATTAACAGTTTAAAGGACACGATGACATTACAAGAACATGATCTAATCGGAATGGATTTAAAAACAATAACAGACATGAACATAAATCTTCAAAGTGCGTTGCGTGAAAAGCAACAGACAATGAGGAATATTGTAGACTCGAATGAGTATTATCACAAGGTACTCGATGAAACAGAAGAGCTTATGAATTGGTTGGACGTACTGAACGACAACCTTGCCATTCAATTCAGCAGATTCGTCGGAGTTAGGTTTCCGTCGTCACTTGCGACCGATCTTTCCAAAACACTGCAACAAATTATAGAAGAAGTTGCCGGATCATCAAACCAAGAGATGATGCAATTAAAAAGTAAAAGCATGTTAAATAAAATCGGCCGAGGCTATGCAGATGAATTAGAAGTGAGAAAAATCGTTGAAAAAATAAAAGATCTCGAGAACAGAATTGTACTTTTGAAACGTGAAAACTCTTCTGCGGTGGCGTCTTTACAACACAAATCTATATTTCTAGAGCAACAGCTCAATATGATGGAAGATTTGAAACAATCTCTGTCTACCCTGAAATGCAAAAGAAACGATGACAGTACGCAACTAAAGTCCAAAGAGAATACGCATATATTCGATCACTTGTTACCGAAGCAAAATCGACAGTGGCTCGTAGAAAGGCTTATAAAACAATGGAGTAACGCAATAGTTAGCGGCCTAGAAGGAAAATCTATCATTTCTATTTTAAGCGTTGCTGATATGAAAGAAACATTTTGTGACGATCTGGGAAAGTTTGTCATAGATAAATATGGAAGAAAGTTATACTCGTCATATAATGAAGAGCTTTCGTTTTATCAAGTAAACGAGAAAAACCAACTTGTCCCAATGAGCGACGATGATAAACACGTTTACTTTTACGATGATTGTGGTAGATATTATATCAATGAAATTAAAAACCGTGTATACAAATCACACAAAGATGCTAGCGAATATATGCTTAATTATGACGGAGTCTTAGTAAAGACTAAGGAAATTAGAAATGGAATAGCATATTACTATGATAGCCTAGGCCGATATTACTTGGAAGAAAATGGAAGACAAGTATACTTAGGAGAGGATGGTGAAAAGTACGAGCATGATGGCCTCGGAAATTTAATCAAGATTTATTCCCACATCTATTATGAGACGTGTCCAAGACCTCCAATTGCTGTAGAAGAAACTAAATATCTACAACAAACTGTAGGAGTAGCTTTAAAAAAGTGCATTGCTGAAGTTGTTCTCCGTCAACCGCAAGATCCTATTTTATTTTTGGCGCAAAGTTTAGAAAATTACCGATTACAAGAACAAGAGCGACAAAGTCGGCGTGAAGATGAGGTGGGATTAATGGCGGAGCGCAGGGAGCGCATGCGCGACCTGGAATCTCTCCCTACGTTCCCTTGCCCTGAAGGAGAGTCCAATGATGAAGACTACAATTTGCTAACGTACAATACATCGTTCTTTTAAATATTGGTACGTATTATTGACATAAATAGTGATAAATAATAGTTGTAATAATTTGTTTTTAAGAAATACATTAAGTAAAAGTTAGTAACTGGTCAAGTGTAAGTGAAACTTGCACAATTAATGTTCCGAACCAAATGGCCAACAATTAAAAAAGAATAGCAAAATATTATAAAACGTTACATCAAGATTCAACCTCAAGACTCCAAGATTTTAAATACAAACCTGCTATATAGATTTTAAGACTTTCGTGGTTATTCACTAAATGATTATCACCAATATCAGGTTTCTTACCACGCTATGACTTCTTTTTATTTTCCCGATATTTCGGAACGGTTGCACGCTCCATGGTCACGAGTTCACAAACCTGCTGTTAGATAATTTTGGGGAAAAAATGTCTCCCGATCGACGGACAGAGACAAACACCCAAGTGGTTTTAATGAAATAAATTTTGGTTCGGAACAATGTACCTAAAACAAAAACAAACAAACACCGAGTGTTAATAGGAAGCCTGCGACTGAATTTTCTATTGATATCATAATTATTTTGAGACTTACAGCCGTAAGGGAGCCGTAACTTTTGTGGCTCACTTCTGCTTCCATTATGATATTTTTTATTTTTACATTTGGACGTTTCCCATTTGTTCGTTCGCTAATCCGATCAATATGTCCAGTGGGACTTTCTATCCGTTTGTCATACCAGTTTAGTAAAAGGAATTCTTACTCCCCTTATTCGAAAAAGTATTCAAAAATATACAATATAACTCAAGAATGTCGTACAGTATAGATTTGGTGATGGCAAGAGTGACCAATTGGTCGAACTTTCGAACTGACAAACGGCCAATATTTTTATTTTTATTGTTTCAGTGTTTTAAATAAAATATATTTTTTGGACAAAATATAAATTTTTAAAATTTACATTAATATTTATTTACATGAATGTCTTTTTCACGTTTATTTTGATACCACACATAATATTATTTGTACGTGTATTTGTCACAGGTTTATTTTTAAAGTTTCCTCTTTTTGACATTAACTTTGTTATAAATTATTATTAGCTTTTGGGTTATATTTGAGCAAAAAATTAAAACTTATAATCGAAGATAAATTATATTTCGTAGCAAACATATTTAATTAATAACTGCGTTCCATACAAAATGTTTCTCTACATACGTGCAACAGCGTTTTGTACATAATTATTATTTACAAAATATGTACCTGTGTCTAAAGGTGATCCGAATCTAAACCCTTGTATTTAAATACATAAATTATTATTTATTGTTTATAAAAAATAAAAGAATTTTTTACATAGATTTTTTTCTCCTTTTTTTCATTAGTACCACCTACATAAGTGAAAGTTTAAAACCACATATTTCTCCATTAGGCTAAAATTGGACAAAATATGTTAATATTGCTTACTTAGATCCAAAACGTTAGGTACTAGGGATTGTCAATCATTATCTATATAGGCACATAAAAAAAATTGTACGGAGCGGCCTTGCGAGCGTGACTCGAAACAACTAACCAGTTTTATTTTCAATATATTTGACAAACAAACCCGCATCCAGCCTCAAATAATGCAAAATTCTTAGCACTTTGTTAGAATTAGTTTACCAACTTTTGTTACATTTTATGTATTCTTGTACTGAAGCTTAGGTACAAATAAACCAAATGGTTTGGTTAATCCTAACCATTCACGCATTCCAGCTTTCGTAAATCTGTCTTCGTGCTGTCGTCATTCGCGCAAATGAACCATCTCGCTTTTAAACTTTCGCGCAACTAACCATTCGTGGAAATAAGCCGTCGCGCATTATGGTGGATTCACAATGCACAAACAGTGGCAATATATTGACAACGACAACTCCTGATTGGTTAACTCAAGGTTATATCGCACAACGCGATAAATTTCGCCAATATATTGCCAGAATTTGTGCATTGCGGATCCATCTTTATAGCTTTCACGCAACCGTCATTCGCGTAATCGGCATTAGCAATCACATGGGAGACTCATATTTATGATATGTAACCTCAATCTAACATAATTACCGTAGCAGAAGAGCGGGAATCCCTACAAGCACAAGTATTTAAAAGGGAGTCTCGAACCACGCACTATAAATAATAGGGGTTAAAGTATGAAATTGCCGATTTGTACTGA